ACAGCTAAATACATCCCCCTCTCAGTCAAAGTCCATCCGTTTAGTTCTGCACAGACATCGAAGTGAGACTTAAAATCAGCCCATGATGAACTTCCATCAAATTTATCTGGTTTTACCATGGCGTTTTTCCGTTTGTCAGCCTGTGTGATATTCTCAGGACGGCGGGTTGTAATGTTTGCCTCATTCAACAATGGGAAGTCATGCCTGGATGTATAAGCATGGTATGGTGTACTCGTAACGGAAAACCTATCTGGCTCGCCACCATCATCTCTTCTCATTTCGCTAAGGTTGTCAGGCCTAGTATACATACTTGGTAGGGTGGTCGTCCTATTCGTTTTAGGTCTTACACCCTCACCTAAATCTATGGTAGTCCGCCTACTTTCAGGTAATCCTGAATCTCTGGCGGCCGTCTTTGCTCGTTCTTTATTTATACTGGCCTGAAGCTTGCTTAGCTCCTGCTCTAAGGCAGTCATTTCATCATCCACAATGTCACTCTCAGACATATCGAAAAATTGCAAAATAAACTTTAACTGAACTACAATTAACCAGGACAAAAACTACATAATAATAAACTTTAATGATTTAATGCAACCCCAAATCCCACCGCTGCCACCAAATTTTGTAACGTATTTACAATTAATCAATGGGATCGTACCTGGTTATTTCCAGGGTTTGGGGTGTAAAACATAAAGTGATTTAAAATTGATTGGTATGATTAAAAAGGACTGCCGAAATATACAAATATGTCCTAACCTTATCTAGGTTAACAATAATCAAATGGTGAATCAATACAAGAATCGGAGGCAAGTAACAACAAATTATTTGGTAGACCTAATAATACTAAATCGAAAGCCCAGTCGCCCTCGGACTACCGCATATACTGTAGGATGCCTTATTCAGGACGGACAGTATATGTGATAGCCCTTCAACCACTACACTCACTGTAGGATGCCTTATTCAGGACGGACAATGAGTATAGCGGCCTGGACGGACTGGTCAGCCAATGCAGACGAACTTTATGGCTAGCCTCTTCGCTTGAGGTTAACCTCTGTGGCAGGCCTTACAACTGGTTTGGTAAACCTCAATGGCCTTCCAAATTCTCTCCCTAACTGAATGAACAGGCGAGGAATTAATAATAGTAAAGTTTATTTACTATGCACAGTCTTTGAACACTGTCTATCGTCTTCTCTCCTTGGCTGCATCCGAAGAACAACAACAGATGACTGCGGAGTCTCCGTATATATACACAATCAAAGTCACGTGATGTTAACAATGACTAATTGAAAACTCTGTATGGTCATACCTCAAGATTCCGGAATTGTCACACTGTTATTTACTCTTAAGGGGTTGAAGGACCTTTAGCTGAAAAAATACCTGTCGTTCGTTTTTTTCCCATATTTTGCATATCTCTAATTTAGTATGTCCCACATACCTTAAAGCAGATATATCAATAGGTTTCTAGACTTATTTTTGAGATATTGAGTGTCAAATACGAAACTCTACAGTGTCCAAGTGAAGTTTGGATTCTCCATGTTTCTGGGCTAATTACTCGGTCGATCATTGAATTTTTTCAGCATAGATAAAAAATATGTCAGCGAAAATCTGTCTTTTAAAATACTTCAGAGTATGGATATGGTTAAAAATTCGAAAAAAGCAAGATTCTTTTGTCACATCGCATCTGGAGACGGAAAATTGCGTACTTTTTTAGACAACTTAAACAACAAAAAAATTAATTTGCAAAAAATCCTATCATTCAATATTTGAAAATTTACGTCGAAATGCAAGTTCGTGACGTTATTGATTAACTGCAAAAATATCGATTGGTGAAGCTGAGCTCAATATTGCTCAGGGCATAGTTAAACAAGACATGAGCATGAGAAAAACGTGTCATGTTTACATTTCTCGAGTACGGGAAAACCCTACTATGACGTCACACATTTGCGAAATAAACGAATTAAGAATACCTACAAAATATTTCCGTCAACAACAATGTAAAAATATTTTTTGTGTTCTGTAATTCATAAAATATCCCACCATGTACTGATCATGACCCGTTTTTATGATATTATACTACCCGTGTTTTACCTTGCATATAATCTTACTGTACTAAGATCCACTATGACGTCAGCGACTCGTTGGACACACAGTGTAGGGAAACAGAAGAGTGGATCAATCTATCCCGTAATTTGAAAATATTTGCAAGAAAGTTTGAATGTTTCTAGATATTTTTAAAAAAGATGGTGAACTCAAACAAACAGTCTTTTTTTTTTTTACAAATACTGTGGTTTCAATCTGGTTTTGTACATATTTCATCAGAGATTATGACGTGATTAAACTGAGTCACGTGACCATACATCCTTCGTCCCCTTAAAACAAGAGGCCCATGGGCCACATCGCTAACCTGAGTAGCTTTGGTCATTCTGTTATTAAACAGATTTCCCCCTTTGTAATACCTATCTTGACCTTGCCCAATCAATCCCAGGGGTCACAATTTGAACAATTTAGAGTCTACACTACCCCATGATGCTTCCACATATTAGTTTCACTTTTCTGGCCCAGTGGTTCTTAAGAAGAAGATATTTAAAGAGTTTTCCGATACATTTCAATGTAAAAATAACAAGAGGCCCATGGGCGTTATAGGTCACCTGAGCATCATGCAGCAACTTTCAAACAATTGAACTTGGTTTATGTTTTAAACCAGAGGCCTAACATTCACAATTTTGAAAGAGGCACCATTGCTCATCATAACTATACACTTAACATGTTTAGTTTGGTTACTTATAATACCCTTAGACAGAGTAGGGGAACAAAAAAATCATTTCAGCTAATCGTGCAGTAATATTGATCAGCAATAATCAGAATGCCCCCAGGTCCTCTATGATTCCCTGATCCAGGGTCTTTGGAATTCACAATTTTAGGTGAATGATCCATGCTCAGCATAAGTATGCATGTAGTTAGTTTGTCTAATACCATGCAGGAACAGAAAAGAAGATTTTCTAAGAATTATTGCATTTTCACTCTATAATTATTTAATAGAACCCAGTAACACCAGAACTCCTGGGGCCATGAAAGTCATAATTTTCAAAGAGGCATCCTTCCCCCACAGGTACTTGTGGACAGGAAAAAATACCCTACTATACATTCTCTCTTATAATGTATAGTAGGGTATTATTTTGTGGAGCAATTATTTTAGGGGTTTAATGATTTTTTCCTATTGTACACATGATGAATAAAAAATGTAATTTGTGAAAAAAGTCCAATAAACCCCGGGGTTAAATATTGAGGGGGGGGGGTACCCCCTTTACCCTGGGGCAATAAAATTAATTCATAATTTTCAAAGTGCACCCTTCTTCATCATAAATATGTATGTAGTTTAAGTGTATGTGCATGTTTAATACCCAGGGGCAAAGAAGATTTTCAAAGAATTAATGCATTTTCACTATATAATCAATAGAACCCTGCTCTAACACCAAAACCCCTGACCCTGGGGCCATGAAATTCACAATTTTAAAAGAGGCATCCTTCCTAATCATAACTTTATACTTAATTCATTAGCTTAATTCCCAGGAGCAGAGGAGAAGATTTTCAAAGTGTTACTGTATACAGGGTTATTTTCGCCCTGTATTATTTTTGCCCTTTCACATTCGGAAACAAGTTTGCCCTGTTTTAAATTCATCCAGAAAGATTTTTGTTCAAGACATTATAATGTTATAATGTTAACTTTGAATTCGTCCCATTTTAAATTTGCGATGAGGGCGAAAAGGGAAAAAATTTCCATGTATACAGTACCTATTGCATTTTCATTATATAATCAATAGAGCCCCACCTTAACACCAGAACCCCTGACCCTGGGGCCATGAAATTCACAATTTTGGAAGAGACACTCTTGCTCATCATAACTATATATTAAGTTTGTTTGTTTAGTACCCAGGAGCAGAGAAAAAGATTTAATTTACTTTCACCATATATTCTTTTAATATAGCCCCACCCTAGCATTAGAACCCCTGATCCTGGGGCCATGAATTTCACAGTTTTGGTAGAGAACTCATCAATGCTTATTACAATCATGCCAACAGTTTGACTGATTGATGTCCAGAAGTAAAGAAGATTTTTAAAGATTGCATTAATTTTAGTGGTTTTGGCCCCACTCCTCAGGCCCCAGGAAAGCAGAGGCCATGAATTTCACACTATTTGTTCCCCTTCACCTATAGATGTTATATGCCAAAATTGGTTGAAATATTGGCTCAGAGAATGCAGAGATAAAGCTGAAAATGTTCAAAAGTTTACGACCGATTGATGACGAACGACGTATAACGGACGAAAACAGATAGCAATAGGTCACCTGAGTGACTCAGGTGATGTAAAAATTGGATTCCCTCCTGTGGTTGCACCCTATACCAGGGGAACAGAATTTGAAAAATTTAAATTCTACACTACTCCAAGGATGCTTCCACGTGAAATTAAGCTCTTATGGTCCATTGGTTCTTAAGAAGATTTTTAAAGTTTTTTTCCTATATACTTCAATGTAGAACTTGGATTCCCTATCGTGGCCCCTCCCTACCCCCGGGGTCATGATTTGAACAATTTAGTATCTATACAACCCCAGGATGCTTCCACATAAGTTTCACCTTTTCTGGCCCAGTGGTTCTTGAGAAGATTTTTGAATGACCCCACCCTATTATTGTATTTTCTTGATTATCTCCCCCTTGTAAGGGGCTAGGCCCTTCATTTTTACAATTTAAACTTCCGTTTACCCAAGGATGCTTTGTAACAAGTTTGGTTAAAATTGGACCAGTGGCTCTTGAGAAGAAGTTGAAAATGTAAAAAGTTTACAAACGGAAGGAAAGCTAAGCAGACGAACGGACGACAGACATTGGATGATCAGAAAAGCTCACTTGAGCTTTCCGCTCAGGTGAGCTAAAAAGCTCCAGCACTTGAGAGTGTTAAACCTATTCAATTACTTGTAGCAGCATTTGATTAAAATTGCATCTTGCTCTTACCAGTTCCTGTTAATGGATCCCCACAACAGTACTCGGTGGTTTTCAGCAGCTTATCCAAGGAATCCTCCTCTTCAAGACTTAGTTTTTTCTGTGCAAAGATACACCTTGGCTTTGTGCAATTTATACAATTAACCACACCTCTCACATACTGCCCTTTCTTCAGAATACCCTGAAAATAAAATATCACAATTAACCCTTAATCATAAAGCTGCAAACTGGGTTTTTTTTTCAAATTCCTATCTACATAATTGTACATCTTGACTGTATTGACTGTGCAAGTAACTCAATAGAGTAAATATTTCAAACCAGGCCACTCCTTGTTGGTGACTGGGTATTCTGACTTGGACTGGGTGGTGAATCTCTAGAATCATGAACATCTCGCTTCAAAGAAATAGTGACATGCTTCAAGTTTGGATCAAATTTTTGAATAATGTCTATCGGGTCATTTAGTACAACTGTAAATGTCTCATCCCCTGGTTGATAGTTTGACATCACGGACACTGTCACACTCAGCTGATCTGAAGGCAACAACACCTCGTCTGGTCCAAGAAAGCTTGATATACTATCCAATACGTCTATCCAACTGCATTCAGCATCATATTCTGTTATTCTGTTTTTGATGTTAGTGTATTTAATCTCCTCACCAATTACAATCTTTACTGTGAAACTAAGCGCTACTTTCCTTGACATGTTTTTTCATCTATATGCGTAAGAGTACATGACACCAATCTAGAATGTCCAAGAATTACTTCCTTCTATACACAGGTCACTTTAATTTTGTTGTTAAACATGAGCATTCATGCAAAACAGTCAGGTTTGATTGGTTTTAAAGCATTTGGTATTAAAGGATACTATTATTTTGGTCTATATTTTCCAGCATTTTTGATTGAATCAGGTGTTTTACTATGTTCATTCAACACATTTATTTATATTTCCTGGAGAATTTATATTTATGTCCTTACTTCCTGCATGAATCATACCGGGCACCACGGCCTCTGTATATTGTTACCCATGTATTGTGTGCATTCAGACATGAATGTGCTAACTATGTAATGGGTATTTTAATTGTACCATATTACAGTGTAGGTGTGATTTCTTTTGATAAAAGTGTCTGTTATCTGTACTTGTTTTGTACACAAAAGTGTTGACCATTATTGACCAAAAGAAAGAGAATATATTCACTCTACCTGAAATAACGGGATCAAATGCGAGGGGAAGGGACTATACCATATAATCCCTATTAACTGCCCATCCCTATAAGCGCCCCCTTGGGTCTTTTTAATTGTCAGGAAATAAATGCCCCCTGTACAGTGATTAAAATTATCTAGAATTGTATCAAAAGTCTGCCAAATTTGAAGAAAGTAAAAAAAATAAAATTTGTTTATTATCCAATTTCTTGGTGGAAAATGATTCATTTAGCATAATTTGGGTGAATTTATCTTCACTTAAAGTAAAGTTAGACATCATTTAGAGATTATTTGAATTTATTTTTTTCAAAATATTTTTTGAAGTTAAAATATGATATTAAATATTAAAAAGAGAATAACAAAATAACTGCCCCCTTTTCACAATTTTCTAAGCGCCCGGGGCGGTTTATAGGGATTATATACAGTATTCGAGATTTTTAACTCTCTTTGATGATAGTCATGAAGAAGAAAATAATATGTCATGTTTTTGTTTGTGCATTTTTGTGCTTCCTATATAAATATATACATTTCTACAATTAAATGTAACAATTAATTATCTTATTTATGTTAGTAAGCATGAAGAAGGACCAAGTATATAAATTTAATCAGATTAAAATTTAGAAGGGGGTAGATTTCATCTTTTACTTTATTTAAAAAAATTTACTTACATGTATTTAAACAGTGCCTGCTACTACATGGTAAATAAGGTTAACATTAGTGCTTAATTTTAAAACCACTGGGTTCTACTCACAGCAAAGAGACTCTTGGGAAACACTAAAAATTGACTTAAAAACAACTTGATACCTTGGATCTGCTCTAAGCAACTTCTAGCAATGAGTTATTGTTCATAACATCAAACATTCAGAGTGTACAAGAACATCTCTTTTTAGCTCCTTCTACTGTAAACATTAATGAAGCCAATATTGTTTAAATACAAATTTTATTTTATTGATCATTATGTAGTTTGACATATTTGAAATCTAAAATGTGACACGTAAATATACTCATGTATAAAACTTACAAAAATGAAAGCATGAAAATAATTTAACCCTTATCAAAAACTTAAATGTTTGATTTTTGTAATATTTACAAAAAGAAAATAAGTTTCGACTGCCGTTTACAAGAAAGAAAGTAAGAGAAAAGAAAAATAGATATATTTTTTTTAAGTACATGTATAGCACAATGATATCTTTTTAATTTTTTGTGTCACGTTTTTGTCAAAAAAAATAACAATTAAAATAAAATAATTCCCTGAATAAAATCAGTTTTCTATTCAACAATTATTAAAAGCTAGGCTTTTAAAAATATATGTAAAAATTTCTTTTTTTTTAATTTGATACAAAAACATTTTCCCCACCCATATTGTTCTTAGGCTTATCTATAAAGTACATGCATTTCTACTCCCTCTTGAAGATCTTGTGATATCATAAATGAAATATTAATGGGAACAAAAACATGTATGATAAAATTGAAGATTTAATGAAGTAAATGCATCTTTAAAACGACGTAAATTGCTATCTTATAAATAAAAACACATAGAACCTCACTGATCAGGTGAGACAACTTCCTTAAACATAAACTTTGATTCCATGAAAAAAAAGATCATTATTAAAAATAATAATATAAAAATTTAGACTTGATATTACCGGTAGTTTCATCAAATATTTTTTTTAAGAGATCATCTTTCAGCAGATATGGTCTACTGGCTAGGTGAATTCATGCCCCCCTTTTTTTTCCCTGAAAGTTTGTTTTTCCTGACATAAGCAAATTTTTTTCTTCAAAAATATTATCACCCATTTAGAATGTCCTTCACAGCCACATGATGTAGTGTATATTGCATGACCTACAAATAAACCTACCTGATTTGCAAAAAAAATTTAAAAAAAAAAAAAAAAAAAAAAAAAAAAAACATGCAGTTTTAAAATAAACATAACTATTTTTTAAAAAAAATTATAAAACATTGCAGGTCTATTAGTTCAGGAGAGCATAACAGTGTTTTGAAATTGTCAAACATTTTGCAATATCTAAGACATGAAAACATGAAAAAATACACTACATGGCCTGTGATTTCAAATTAAAACACATCAGATCCACAAGGCTTTAAGAATGAAAATGAATACATGATTATGCAAATTTCCTTTTTTTAAACATGATAGATTACAGTTCATACATATAAAATATAATGATATCATTATGAAACACAGAAGTCCCTGGAGTAAAAAATTTTGTTTCTTTGTTCCGGGATCCCCAAAAGAATTGAATACCACCACTACTATTTTTAATACAGACATTAAGTTCTGTATAGTCCATTTAAGTGTGTCTTACTTATCTTAACCTATACAACAGACAGCTTAGTCCTAAGTGACCCATATTGGTTATTAAACATCAAAAAATCAAAGAAAGTTTTCCAGAAAATAGGTTCCTAAAACTACTTGAGATATTAGTAAAATCAATATGTATTTTTTTTTATTTACATCATAATTAGACATAACTACACACAAAAAATAGACACATCAAATCGGATCAAAAAACCACAGTTAAAGAGGTAACCAATCATATTTTTATTAATTTTGGAGAAAAATATAATGTCATTGAAAAATAAAAGTGTGGATTTAAAAAATAGTAAAATATTTTGGGGGAAAAAAAGGTTCCACCAGTAACCCACTAGCAACCATTGTCCACTCTACTTGGTCTACTGGCCTCTTGTAAGATTCACAATTTAGTGATTTTCTTACTATTTAAAAAAATCAATTCTAACTGTAAAAGTGAAAAATAAATAAATAAAATTGCGGTGGGATAAGCGTTATTTACAGTGAATTGAGGTCCTTCAGGTTACTAGGGGGTTCTGAAAAAATACATTTTCACTATGCTTGAAGGTTGCACATTGGAAAAGGCATTCTAAGAAAACGAAAGCAAGTGTGCAAAGAGGTCTCAAAATATGTTGACACTAGAAATTCAACATTCTCAGGTGGAATTCCCGAGTACATGTTAATGTACAAAATTAAGAATTTATAGTACAACCCATCACGTATAGTAGCCTCTTTGGGCATAACAACCAAGTACCTAGTTTAGATATGACCTAGCATACAGTATATAAAAAAATCACAACTGACACTCACCAGTGAAACAGCTTAGTGTATGCTACATGAAAATTAAGAACAGCAAAAAGCAGTTAATTTCAACAACATTCATGTTTTTCAACATTTCTGTTATATATTTTTATACATTTCACTAACAGCACTATACCTGAATTTCTTATTTAACTGATCGAACAAAATATAAAGGCAACCACTTTATACTACAACAATAAAATGATAAAGCAGTTTTTTTTTTTAGCTTTACGTTTGCCAGACGTTAATCGAAAATACAACCATAGGGTACTACCCTACTGTTTCAAAAATGAGTGACATTTATCCAGCAAATCAGGCACTTCTTTTTCCTATACTTGTAATATTAAGTAGCAAAACAAAAGAGTAATAGTAATAATCTTTGGATAATCAACAATCAAAGCAGAAACATGGACAATATGAAAACTGGACATTGAAAGTTAAAATTGTAGGCTAAATTATAAACCTTACTGAAAAAAAGAATATAGTTTGTCACTTTTTTTTTTTCATACATATGCATCAAATTTAACCATGCAAACATAAAGATGGAATTGGATTTGTGCAGTCAATCTTTGCATTATGTACATGGCCTGTATCATACCTGCTTTACAACAAAGGTACATTTTTGTGATGATAAAAAAATTTACACGTTTATGAGAAATTAATTTTTTTGCTCCTTTGACAGAGCACACTTATCGCTGCGTTACTTGGTCCATACATGCAAAACTGGAATACAAACTGAAAATACTTTTTTTGGCATGAAAGTTAAAGACACAGTTAAAAATATCATGCTCAGACAGAATATATTTGTGTTGATCCTTTCACCTCCTCATGCATAGAATTCTTTATCCGGCGCCTTCATATATGAATAATTTGTGTATTTCTGCTCATCTAGTGGGTAGCTTCCTTCGTCCTTCTTCCTCATACGATAAACAATGAACATCACCAGCAAAATCGTCAACAGCAGTGCAACCACTGCCCCACCAATGACAGCTGCAATCAAAGAAACAATATCTATTGTAAAAAAAAAAATCTCTCACAGTAAAGGAACATCCCCATCCCCAATTTCATCTACATCAAGAAATACCATATACCACTCACAAATTGTATTCTGTTATAAAAACATCTCTAACAAAAATAATTTAATACTTCTACCAGTGATCACTTTGACCTTACACAAACATCCATGCTGTTCATACAGGTGACCCTACGAACATGAACCATCTATGATTTACATTACAGAGGTTAATGTTTCTCTGCTTGTAAAAAAACCTTCCATACCTGCTAATAATCCTGGTCTCGCCATAATGTAAACAATAGGCGAGGATTCCTGGCTCTCTGCCCTACCCGGCGCTACTTCCTCCTCCTCAAGGTCATGTCTATTTTCATCTTTGGGATCAACAGGCTTTGCCACCCCATGATCTAAACAAATAACAATGCAAGTTTAATGTTAATTCTGGTGATAGAAAAGCAGTAGATTTAATTCATAAAATAAAAAGTTTATACAGTAGAATTATGAATACCGGTATCTGCCATTTAATACATCTGTATTTAGGAACTTACTTAGGCCTGGAATGACAATATTTGTATCCTTATTTCCATCACCCTTTCCTATATTTGGAGTGTACTGTAAAATAAAACATATATATTTATTTTATCTATCTAATATTCAATTGACAGTATTTCAACTTTTTAATGGCAAAAATACCAAAACATAGTTTATTGCTACTAAACATTTCAAGATAGGATGATAAAATTATCATTACTTCAATATAAGGTTCCTTCCACTTAACTTAATTTTATTTTTGATACCTCATGATTCATGAAAAAATCTAAATAAAGGTTTGTGTTTTTTTTTATTTTATTAGCTAAAACCTTTGTCATATTCCAAAATTGACTGGCTGACAGTTTTTGAGGTAACAATGGGATTCTACAGGCAACAATTAATCAGCCATTCATCCTGTCTGATTTGACCTTGGGCCAAGTAATAACTTTTCTGTGTTGGTGACCAATTTTTTCAATGCAAGCAGTCATTGAATAGTGCATAGACCAATCATTAATCCTTATCTGAACATCAGAAGAGTTTGTTTAGACAGTCATTAAGGCATAGACTTGGTTTTGAGAAATATTGACTGACAGACAATCAAACTGCAGTTCAGCGCTCGTTGATTGGAAGAAAACTGGCAGATTTATAAATGTTTAAACTTTTTAAGTCATCCATGTTCTACTAGGAATTCATATGACTTTTCCTTATTGCCTGTATGCTACTGTTGGCCAAGCATTTTTTCCTTAACCAATGATCTGAGAAAAAAATTGATCACTCCACCACCGGCTTAACTGTTGCCCATCTATAATTTATAAAGAGCTTCCAAAGCATGTAAAAAGAGAGAAAACACTGCCTCTCCATACATGTAATCAATCTTGATCTCGGCAAATGGGTCTAAGTGTGAATGTTAAACATGGCAATTCAATGCATTTGCTTTCAAACATATCTGAAATGTAACAGCTTAATGCTTGAAAAAAAATTGTTTTGCCTACTTTATGTATGTCTGTTTTATCTGGCTTTTCTTCCACTACTGGCTTTTCTGTTACTACTGGTTTTTCTGTTACAGGCACTGGCTCTGCTGTGGGCCTCTCTGTTTTGGGGGATGGTGTAGATGTTTGTGGCTTGGGGGCTTCGGTAGGTTCTACAATGTCATGCATATCATATTAGTTCTTAAATGCTTCAATGACATTCCACTGCATGCAGCATTGAAAAAAAAAAAAACGCATAAAACAGTTGAAGTGACAGGGCCTGTAACCTTGCATATATTCACTGGAAGAAAAAACTTAGACACCCTTGGTTTCTATTTTGCTAAAGCTAAATAATGTGGGTAGATCTCTGTAAAATTGCTTGATGCATATCTAAGAATTCAATAATTTGCAGCTGACCAAAAAAAATCAATGAACAAGGAAAGATGGAGGCAGTTTAAATCTACTGTGTATGTACCTATACAGCGAGGAACTACTGGCTGAAACACTCTGGTCTCCCGTTGTTCTACGCCATGTACGTCCACACACCAACAAGCTGAACCGTGACACTGAATTTTCTCAAATTCTCCGTCAATGGTGCATCGAGGATGGTAAGTTCCCAAAAGACCTTGCTTCTTTCTTAGCAACTGGTAAACACAGGGCTTTAGACCTTCTCCTACAAAACAAAATATATGTATCTGTAATCAAGTGGAGGCAAAGTACATACAGAGTTTTCCTGCAGTGATGAGAATGTATATGTGTATATGCAGGTCCACAAATGGTAAAATTCATGTTTTTACGCGGATTGTGCTAAAATTGAAAACAAAAAATGAATCCACTTTTATAAAAGAAAGACTTCGAATTTATGGCATATAATAAACATAAACACCTTCAGTAGTAACAGTACTAATTCATTGATACTCAAATCTTACATATCAACGACCTAAATATGCACTAAATTTTTAAATTGCTTAAACTTGTAGGGTGGGGAAGTTATGCAAAGTTAAGCAAAGTTTACCTGTTTCACAATTTGGAACATTTGGCTGCATCATCCTGGACCCTGCAATTTCATTCCCAAGCTTGTCCACACACCAACATTCTTTGTTATACATCCTTCTATGACACTGTAAGGGCTCATACTCTCCGGTGAGTGTACACTTGGGCCTGTAGGCTTCTGCCGTTATGTTTTCTGCCGATAATCGCAGCTGCTCGCAGGCAGTCAAGGAACGAGTTGTGGTTGGAAGATGTGTTGACAAATCTGAAATTCAATACATTTTTTTTGTATACATTCTTGAAACCTTTGTGCAAACAAGTTTCAACATCTCAATTTTTGAACTTTAAACTTTGAGAAATGATCCTTTCAGCATGTTCAATACATCTACAGAAATGAAGAATAAGGTGTTAACTTTGTTAGCAAAGTGTAAAATATCCGAAGTCTTCTATGTGTAAATAAAGTTCATTTCAGAAGGGTATGGGGGCTGAATTCAAAAGAATTCCAGTGAAGACACTGCTCTTAATGCTTGATAATTCTATTCAAAGTCTTTTGCCTTTTATCCACTGATGTCAACATTGTGTGGATATCAAATTAAAAAGTTCAATGCTAGCCGCAACTGACCAGCAGGGTATATTCGGTATAAATCAATCTATCCTTCTTTTAACACCGAAAACCTAAACATACTAATTACTAACTTATTTTGGTTCTTAATTATGAACCACTTTAGATATAATGTTTTCCGTTTGACTTATAAAAAGTTGAAAGATTCTGAATTCTGTGATGTCTTTCAAAGCTTTATGAACATACAATTATTATTCTGATCGAGAGAAAAGAAAAACAGCAGGTTAGGCAGATTTAAATAATTGTATTGAAACAATGCAATTAATATTTTTGTAATTGAAGTATAACGTGGTACAACTGCTGAGCTAAACAAAATGGAGAAATCATATCTGTTTAATTTACATGAATAAATAGCAAGTAATGACAATAGACAGAGTGTGTGATAGGACTTCGCACACTCACTTGAAGACTAAACATGTAAAAAGTTGTAAAAGTTTTATGATAATTTAGATCCTATATGCCAGTTTCCAGAATGCTTTTTTTTTTTTCAACGTGGCCTGCATGCAGTATATGTATCTCAACAACTTTCAATTTGGTTCAATATGTCTACACTGGTCTACAATGCTGCAGGGCATTTCTTTTTTTAAAGCAAAACATCTGGATATTTATTTTCTCTTTTTTCAACAAGTCTTAATTGCTAACAATTACAGTTCAAAATGAAGACTTGCTAAATTTTTCCTTACCATGAAAGATTTTGCAAGGAGCATGAAATGAGAAGACTTTATCGTGAGGTGTTTTGCTAGGAGCATGAAATGAAAAGACTTTATCGTTAGGGATTTTGCAACGAACATGAAATGAGAAGACTTTACCTTGAGGGATTTCGCTAAGAGCAAGAAATGAGAAGACTTTACCTTGAGGTGTTTTGCTAGGAGCATGAAATGAGGACTTTACCATGAGGGATTTTGCTAAGAGCATGAAATGGAAAGACTTTACCATGACGGATTTTGCTAGGAGCATGAAATGAGAAGACTTTACCATTAGGGATATTGCTAGGAGCATGAAATGAAAAGACTTTATCGTTAGGGATTTTGCAACGAACATGAAATGAGAAGACTTTACCATGAGGGATTTTGCTACGAACATGAAATGAGAAGACTTTACCATGAGGGATTTTGCTAGGAGCATGAAATGAGAAGACTTTACCATGAGGGATTTTGCTATGAACATGAAATGAGAAGACTCTACCGTGAGGGATTTTGCTACGAACATGAAATGAGAAGACTCTACCATGAGGGATTTTGCTACGAACATGAAATGAGAAGACTCTACCGTGAGGGATTTTGCTACGAACATGAAATGAGAAGACTTAATGTTCCTTTACCATGAGGCATTTTGGTGGGAGTAGTTCCTGACCCACACCCTTCTCCTGAGTAATCATCCCCCAGATCTTCATCATCCGTAAAGGTGGGACCAACTCCACTCCCCTGTAACATGTGTAATAATAATCACTAATCATGCTAATAATCACCAATTTTATTTCTCATTTTAATTCATACACAAATGGCCCTGAAACCAATATCATTACTAAAAGATAATTGTGAGTTACTGTATAATGTGTTATTACACCAGCACACAATAGCTTGTTTAAACAAACCACAGTTGTATAAAAAAAAATATGGACATTGTTTCTGATTTGTAGGCTATGAAAGACCTTAGTAATTTTCAAGGATAATAAACCATCCATTTATAGATCTGTTGATATCATAGCCTGAAAGGCATTTCCATCCTGTATTTACTAACCCATTGAACGGTCTCTCTTTAATTGTTAATAGAGGTAATAATAAGCAATATCAAATGGTCTGGTGGCTGGTATACATGCAAGGAAGCCTCTACTGAGAAATGGTTGATCTGTATTTATATTTGTCCAATGTATGATAATTGTAAAATCAATAATCAACCTGATTACTAAGTACTAAACTTAATAGAAATGAAACATTGAACATGTTGATTTATGGATTTCAGAAACTCAGCTCTGTCTCTCTCCAAAAAAAATATAAATTAAAACCATAGACATTGTTTATGCTCTCCTATACATTGTTGTTCAAATAAAAAGTCACTTGAAGCATTATGATTTTCGCTCAAATGTGACATACTGTCATAAAATATGTATAGCACTGTTGGCACATATGCAGTACATGTATAATCAAAAGGTCTTTTACCAAAATAATCATAAATTTTATTTTTTTAGAAAAAGCAGAAAAATTGTTCAGCACAGGAAAACTAAAGAACATATCTAAAACAGAGAAAGTAATAATTATACAAAGGCACCTGCAAATATTTGCAAGGTCCTAAAAAGATGGGTTGCTGGCTTAGGGCCAGTTTTTATTTTTCAATTCACTACTGATTTTTAAAACTGATCTCTTGAACCATAAATATTTTAAAGAAATTTTTATCAGTCAAGTGGAACACTAAAGGATCAAAAAATCTAAAACATATTCATGATAAATATTAAATAGGCACAGATGGCAGACATGTAGGACCACCTAGTGTAGGAAACTTTGGTCAACTAATCATTTAATGTATGTGAAGAATATGCTACACTTTTCCATAGAAATTTATTTTTACTCTATACACTACTGGGGAATCATTTGAATTCGTGGGGTTAAAGTTCGTGGGCAAGCAAAATTTTGTTGGTCCGCAGTGATGTAATTTTGTGGGTAACTAGTATATACAGATGATTTAATGAATAAATATGTTAAAAAAATTATTGTTCATGCCATGGGGATGTAAATTCAGGGATAAGGGTGACCCACAAAATCCAAGAACATTAATCCCTAACCCCTATCAACATTGACACATTACCCTATCAGGAATCCACTGGGGGGAGGAGGGGGGGGGGGGGGTAACTATAACACGCCATTCAAAATGATTCACAGAAAGAAAAGTAATGGTTGACAGTGTGTGTGTTTGTTTGTTAGGGAGGGGGGGGGGGTCTTGTTTCAGTGAGAACCTCTGTACTAATAATACATGTAGCTTCCATGACACATTCACTTACATTATCTATATCTAGAATTCCATCCCCTGACGGTGATCCACCATTCTGAAAAAGACAAAAAAACTTTGTTTCACAGGCAACCATGCTTACAAATTTGGATTTATTCTATTCTAATTTACAAGAGGCCCATGGGCCTTGATGCTCATCTGGTTGTGTCTCACATGGAAACTTGTCTTATCCAAAATATTGTCCCATAGGATGTAAACCTTGTCTCTTATAGTAAATTTCATTTTATTTTTTCATTATAAATATAATGTTGTCTCATGATCTAATATGAAATAATCACATCATAGGCTCATTCCAAAAAATGAATTTTGTCATTTTGAGCATTAAGCTTGTTAAGATTTTCCTCATTAGGTATCAACTTACATCATGTGCATGATGAGAGGATTGACCCATTTTTTTTTATATTTACCCTAATTGTCTTATTATTGTTGGTTACATTAAGCACTTGATTACAATTATCACTTAGTGCAAGTATATGTAGGTACCAGGGCAGTTTATTTTTAGTAGCACAATGTATAAATTATAAAATATAACACATCAATTTGTATGCTAACAGTTAAACAGTGGAAAAATTTAATGTACCAATTAACTTTATTCTAACTCATTAATAACTCAGCATAGCAAAGAATCAATAGAGCTCTAGACTACAAAGTTTACAAATCAACATTGTAGAAAAATAATTGATTTCAAATACTGCTCCAACATCAGAGACACCAAAACATGAAAAAGGACATATCGGTACCAGTAATTCAAATTGTTTTTTCTCTGTAACTTAATTGAGCTTTTCATCTGTTATTTATTGTTGGCAATATCATATTGTTCTCATAATCTAAATTAATGTACATTTGTGATGACATTTAGAAGAGAGTGTTTTATAGTTTATATGCTTTTTTCTTGTAAATAAATTTCTCGGATGGATTTTTTTTTTCAATATTTGGGACATCCCACCCCCCGACTCCAGAAAAATTCCTGGACCCGAGCCTACAACCTCATTTCATTGTTGCACAGTTGAAACTAATTCATACCTATCAAAGCTAAATCTTATTAAAATGAGGGAACTGCTTTCAATGAGAAAATACAAAGAAAGAAAAACAAAGATCAATAGTGAAATAAATAGTACATACAGTATACTAAAAATTTTCTTCCAAAGTTAAGGCCAGGTAAAATTAATCTTTAGATTCTCATCCTAATTTGCAAAAAAATTGGGGCGGGTGGGCGGATTTTATTTTTTATTTTTTATAATTGTTAATTTATATATAGGCCTAAGTATCAACAAAACAATGGACGCCCCGTACATATTCTTTTCATTACCTTAATGCAAATATGAATAGATTTAATTCTTTTCATATTCTTTTAAATATTTAAAGAAATATTTTTCTTTAAAAGTTAAATATTTGTTAATTAACAAATTATCAAGTACACATTATACGGCACACCCTGAACAAAATGAGGTGGGGATACCAATAAATTGTGTGTGCGTGACTTCTTATTTTGCAAAATCTATATAAATGTTCTACCGAAAAATCTAGGCCTTCTCTTAAGTCTGTCTACGATGTTGTAGATTTTTTTTTTATTTCAAAGCTAACGGTAAGTCACACAGCTGGAGATCGTTATATATAACTTGACTTTCCTCGTCTATTTTTACTTAGTTACAATCTCTATACATACTTGCTCCTGCCAGTGATGGTATCTATATGTGTTTATGCTATTTTTTCTTCTCTGCCTTCTCTATACTGACAAATTATCTTTTCCTTACACATTTAAACTGCTTTTATTGCTGATTTTTCTCCATTCTTCACATGGCGTTTTTGCTATAAATAGCGACACGCGACTTTTAATACAGACGGGAGATAACTCTTAAACTTTGACCTAAATTCTTACTGAATAAAAATACATGAAAATACCCCAAAATCAAAATAAAAAACATCGGGGCGGGACATTTTGTGGGGGGGGGGCGGGGATGAGAATCTAAAGATTAATTTTATATGGCCTAAAGTATTTATTTAAAACCCTCAACAACTTTATTATGCTACATGTATATCAATTTATCCTTAACATTACAAAGTTACAGCCAAGTCTACTCCTAAGGGACATTTCTAGCTGAATACTAGTACGTAAAATTTCATAGTACAGTCCCACCCTTACCTCAGGGGTTATATTTAACAAATCTGATATGCATTTACTACACAATTATGAGGATGCTTGCAACTTCAGGTTAAATTTTAGACATCACAAAATCTTTTTGATGTTATATGAACTTGTCTATAGTAACTATGATTTGGGGAATTCCAGGTAAAAATGAACCCCACTTTGTACAATTTTCCAACACAGTCAATTATATGAACACATTATCAACAGACAAAATTTCTTCACTTCAGAATGGAAAGTGAATTGGAAAATTAACCCTGTACTTTTTTTCTTTTTTTGGCAGTCACACAATGTCCCTCTCAACAAATTTTAAAATTAAGAGAGACAAAGATGAACTTTGATCAGAATCTTCAGCATGTTTATTTGAGCCTCTTGATTAGTGACCTGAATATATACTAAGAGTATTCAGCTTTTAACATGTTTAAATGCTATGTCCGTACTTGTTATTTACTCTCATAGTTGCATTTTTACTGGGAAAAAAATTATTGGTACATGTAAACATCTGATTATAACAGAAACTAATTTCAAAAATCAGAAGTTTTTAGCATGAACTAATCAGTTATTATCACATTATTTTTTTATTTCTTTACTTATTCATTTTAAATTTTTAATGCACCTGCAATCGAAGACTCAGGGTTACATAAATAGTTGTTTTGTTTTGCTTTTTTTTATTTTACTTAATTAATCACTGAGAGACAAAAATTCTTCTAGATACATGCATTTATCTACTAAAAGATATATTATAATTCAACTGTCAATACTGAATGTCAGATGGGATACAATGACTTCTATGACCCTTCAATGTCTTCCTTGACTTTCACTGCTTTGATATTTTGATTCTATCATACATATCAAAGCAAAATTTAAAAGCTGAAATTGGTACAAAAAATTGTTATTCTGGAATTTCGACAGAACTTTCATTTTAATTATATGATGTATTTATGAGTCATGTATACACTATAAAATTCCTTTCCTGATTCAGGGATGGTACAAAAAAATTGTCTATAAATAGCACAATATTTTAGGAATCTGTATTTTTACACACTTTATGCTCACAGGGGAAAAAAATCTTTCTTTGAATTTTAAAGTTCTCTGAATTATGGCAATTTAAATTTGCAGTTACTAGTTAATTCACAAGATTTGAACTTTAGATGATATAATATATCTGGCATTTAACATGAAATAATTACGTTTCACATGCCTATTTTTAAAATAAATGATTACAATTTATTTGACTTATTCCTGGCATATTATGGCTACATTTCTATATTGAGTTAACAAATAATCTATGTATAAACTGTAATTTCAAAGTATGGCTGCATCTTATTTATCTATCAGGATAATGAGCTCTTTTTGGAGTTTTATATATGGTCCTAAATCCTTTAAATTGGGAAATATAAAATATATATATCTGGTAACAGGTGTATTTATGAAATAGGATAAGTTTTTCTTAAACATCTTGTATCAGATAAAATTTAACAAAGCTTTATTATTCAGACAAGATTAAATCTACCCAGTTATTAATAGGTTTACAGGTAGCTCTGTGAATGAGCAGCTTAATCTTTGCATCACCTCCCCCCCCCCCACCCCCCATAAACTCACTTTGGTTTAATTAATACATAGTCTTTGATAAAAAAAAAGAGTACTTTTCAGAATTCAAAATGGAGACATGTGTGAAGCTACAGTCAATAATTTACATGCCTCATGCAGTTGCAATATTTATTCAGTTAAAAGACTTAAAACACAACTGCAAGCACTTGATCCAATGGTCACAGTGACACTGTCACAGGGATTTATTTACTAGCTATTTTATTACACTAACTTTTTTATGCAACTGGAACAACTTCAGTTGAAATTGGACCAGTGTTTCTTGAAAAGAAGTCGAAAAAGTGAAAAGTTTGCAGACAGACAGGCAGATGGATGGACAGATGGAAGCCGGACAAAATGTGAACAGCTCACTCTACTACCAAAGGCCAAAGAAAGTTTTGTACATTTTGAATGTGCTTGGTGACTTTGCGCTATACCCAAGGTTCATGCTAAGCCATGCACCGGTTCTCTGAAATTGGTGTGATTTTCCCTTTTCAAAAAAATTCATATTAACGGATGATGCACTTCGTTCTTCAGTTTCATTGACATCATTGAAAAGAGTTCCAAACTTTCAATATCTATATTGAATAGTTTACTGCCCAATATGAATAAGTATATTGGCAGCTTGCATGTACTACTCCATGTCGATATTAGTAAGAAAGCATATCAGCAAAAAGAAATAGCATGAAGCAATCTGGTGATCAAGATCTAATACCCAACTGTTAATGGATGATGAAATCAGCAGTTGCAGAAAGTAGTATGAAAAAGTAATCAGATCTGAATGGAAAAAAAGTATGACCAGCCTTTACATACACAATTAATAAGCCACTAGGTCTGTTCAGAATTGAACTTATAGACCATTTCGGCAGGTAAATTTAATTTTTCATGTCATTTTGAATAGTAGCAAATGACTGCTGGTCGACAGCAAACTGAAAACGTGCAGGTGAGCTAAAAATGAGATTGGTTGCTAAACATTAGTGTTAGCAAGCCAATGGAAATATGACTATACTAAGGGAGTTCAGAGGCAAACCCCTCCGGAAATTTTTGGATAAAAGTAAAAATCTGCATCATGCAAGTTCATCTTGAGGGTTATATGATTCTCATTTGAACCACTACAAACTTAATATATATTTTAAAGCTATATATGGCATATCTAAGCTATCTAAAAAAATAAAAATAGAAAATTGAGTGTTTATATACACGATACTGATACATGTTTAAGTTATTTATGTTCATATTAAAATTTAACCGATTTCGAAGATGAATAACCTCATGTTTCCACCGATAAATTGACCTTAAACTGTGTCTGTTATTAAAATGTGGTGTCAGTAAATAAAATCGGTTAAATTTCTAATATCTTTGAAATGTGACTGATTTAAATAGTGTAATTTAAAGGAAAGTCCTTTCTTCATATAAAGTAATTATTCCAATAGATTTTTTTTTTATTTAGTCTGAACTTATAAAAAAATATGTCGTATATACTTGAAATGTTACATTACATTCCATCAGGAAATTTTTCATAACTGAAACATGTGAAAGGGGAATTTTGTCATTTTTTTCCAAAAGGAAGAGATACTGTTTACCAGCAGTTAAAACGGTCTTGATAAATCCCTGCTCCAATAAATTATTAAGTGTATCCCTATATCTTGTAGGAAGGAAAGTTAATGTGTCACAGATCTGAATTGAAAATAATCTGAGACTCATCTGATTCTGATGCTAACACCCCCTCTTTCCACGTAGAGGGTATTAAGAACTCTATGCACATTCCACAATATGAAAAAATAGTGGGGGTACCGTAAAGGAATATCAGATTGAAACTGTCAAATGACAATGAATTCAAGTAGTCATGGCCTTATAAAATATTTGAATTTTCTACAAATGTCTTCAAACTTCTTAAATTCATGAAAATATGAATGGAATGGTCTCACCATCTGGGTTGTCACTTGACATACAAATGAATTATACTCAAACTTACCTGAAAATAACATGAAGTTTATACTTTGTTCGTTTAAAACCAATTTTAATCCCAGCTACAAGTGGGAATTAAGTAATAAATACCATCTTCAACATGATCAAGTAACTTACTAACCATGCTAACTATTGTCTAACCATGCGAACAGTAACAACTGTCTATAAGTTGGACTGAGCTAATTAACACGAATAAGACTAACAAACCTATTACATAATCTTTTCTGGCATTACATACATGTTAAGTTTCGAAGAAATATATCTATTATACACAAAAAAGAAGAGAATTTCAATCCACCAACCTGAATTGTGTCAAGTCGAATTCCCTCTGTTCGGGAAGCCAACAAAATTCCTATTACCAATACAAATTTGAAATTCGTATGCATGACAGAACGTCAATTAACTTTTCCTGATTTATCAATCAGTTCTTAGTCTCTTCATATAAACCCGAAACACTTAAAGAAAGGGAAAATACTTGAGTGTTTATTTCCACTATGACTTATTATGGCTTCCGGACTATCTTGCGATTCCTCCGCGGTTTTTTGTTCCATTTTATTTTATTATCATACACACATAAGTATATATTATTATAGTTATATATGAATATAAATATTTCTTACTGAAGAAACTCTTAAAACAATTCATTTTTAAAATTATTTTTATTAAAATGCAGCACTATTTTTTCAATACGTCACTTCCGTAAAGAAGGCACACTCTCTGAACTTTCAATGAATGGGTTTTCTATTATTAGACTTAGTGCCCACTGTGCGGTGAGAACGTAGATGGAACCAATAAAAAACTTTTACATATATCTTACACTTTAAACTTTAACCCGTCTTTTGAAGAGATTTGGAATTAATGTAATATTGCATGTAAAATGCATGCTTTTTTGCGGTCAACCCTCATTCAGTTTTTGAACAATCTGCTCACACTACTTGATGAAAAATTTATAGCTAAATTAATTAGTAACATGCATTTAAATGTGGAGTTTACAGTTACTGTAAATATATATCATACAAACCATCTAAATAATTACCGATGAATGCAGGTCATGTAGAACTGGTGTGAAGGGGGGGGGGGGGCAAATTCTGCAAACTTAAGTCTGACTTGCCTAAAAATGCCTAGACGGCTAGAGTAAAAAGATGACCATGACAGATACGGTCATATTCCAATGGAAATCTTAAATTCAACAAGTAAAAGAAAAAACAAACAAAACTGCCCCAACTTGAAATTCATATTTCCTGGGCGTGGGGTAAACATATTGGAATGGTCTTTGAACCCACAGGTCCTTGAGGACAGAAACCCCCCTCCCCCGGTCATTTAGATTTTTTTTCACATAAATCATATATGGATTACACATTTGTGATATAATCTATCCTCTCATTTTAGAAAATATGCTTAAACTAACATTTTGTTAAAAAAAAAAAAAAAAAAAGAAATCAACCCCACTCTCTATATATAAATTTTATATGTAGATTAGATTTATAACACGTTTGTTTTAGGTAATTTTTCTAATTGCTTATGTAGACCCCTTTAAGAATTTCACAATCATATGAAACATTGAAAGATAATTTATGTACTAGGAAAAAGGATCACTGAAAAGGAACAAGGGTCTTTTTTCCATATGTGACATCGGGGGGAAGAACCTGTCCTCACAGCACAGTGGTCTGTGTTGTAAGGAACCTTCTTTATGAAATATGAGCATTACGATAACCACTGCGCCAACAATATTCAAAACGTAAAAACAATACAAATCAGAACCTCCCTCCCCAGAATCCTCAAACATGGACCTCCAAACATACACGTAAAAATTTGAGCCTAGTTGCGGCCTTGCCAAGCTCAAAAGTCCATGCAAACATTACAAATCAGATGCAGAGCAAACATGGACCTCCAAAATATACATTTTAGAGGTGGAATCAGCTCGCCGTGTGCTCCTTAAAGTAATCGGGATATCCCCAGAAAATTGTGCCTAGAAATAACAGAAAAAAACGTATGCTGAACAGAATATGACTGAATGATAAAGTTGATGAACAACTACAAAAATGTAAGATATGCCAAGCGAGGGCCAAACATGAAAAAGAAGACCTGTACACGTTAGAATGGATAAAATGTATCAAATGCATGTTAAAATTTCGCATCAAGTGATTGAAGGGCAAAATGAAAACCAATATATCCTTCTGTGTTCAGTAATCTAGAAGTGACAAAAGAATTGAATAGATTACATGATCAGTATGCACTGGTCCCTGCTGACAAAGCAGGTAAAAATTGGGTCAAGTATTTAAATCGTATTAAGAGGAACTGCGACTTAATTCTACAAGTGACAATCCAACTTGAACTTATACACATAACAACTGAACTCCCTTTCTAAGAAGGGAATTTTTTAAAATCATATAGCAAGTTTTGAATTTTTTTAATATTCCCAAGTTGGCAACTACTAAAATGAATTTGCATTACCATATCTATATTGGATTCCGAAACTTCATAAAAATCCATGCAAAGAAACACAGCGGGTGGATAATTAATGATTCAAAGAACTTTTGGAAAATTTTAAATCACAAATTTTTACCTATATCATCAACATAAAAACTTTTTTAATTTTATATACAACAATACCCCACGATGAATTAAAGTCCAGGCTGTCTTTTACATATCATTGGCAGCTTTTATCCAATAAAAATGGAACTCGTAAGTTTACTTACCCTGTTATTGGTCATTTGCAATATTACTTTGTTAAAAACATTCTGATTGTTCACAAAGGTACTCTGCCTGATATTAAAAAGATGGAAATTCTTGACAAAATCTATGTGGTTTTTGGTTTAAAATATTTAAAATATATCAAACAATATTGTAAAATTGAAAAACATATATATATTTAATGATCGACAAAAAGTAATAATGAAATACAAAAATCATTTTCAAAATTTATTGACAAAATGTGCAAAATGTGTTTTGTGATCCTCCATGTGTTTTATATATAACTGTCGTATAATGTTCATCAGATTCTTTTCTTTTTTCTTTATATGTTGTCTATTACTTGACCCTTTACTGTAATGTTTAGTATTATATTTTGTTAAAAACATTCTGATTGAACACACAAGTTCTCTGAAACTGATATTTAAAAGATGCTCGAAATTCTGATTGACAATATCTATGGGGTTTTTGGATAGAATGTCTTCCAACAATATTGTCAGAATTCCCATGGGTACCAATTTTGCTCCATAAGTAGCAGACCTATTTTTGTATTCAATAAAGCAGACTTTGTTCAAAATCTTAAACATGAAAAGGAGAAAACACTTGCTGTTGCCTTCAATTTGACATTTAGATATATATCCATGGTATTGTAATCCCACACTGATGTTTATTTCAATTTCTGTGTTTGCACAGTATACCGGTGATTTAAATGTTCGAAAAACTTTGAGCTTGAATATTTGAATATCCATATTAAATTATTATTATATAATATCCAAATATAGCTTGCCAAGTAAAAAAGTTTACTCCATATGTTAATGTTAAAAATTAATTGTGTATAAAATGCAGTGCTCAGTATAATACTTTATCACTTGCATATGTATATTGTATATCTCTTAATAAAAAAAAATATACACATATTTTAGGTATGTGTATATTTTTTTTTTATTGACAAAGAAGTTTCTGAAACAAGAATATCAACAGCTAGTCTCATTTAAAGTGATTTTTCATATAAAATATAGTTGTTTAATACAATTTACACAGGCGCGTAAACTGCCTATACTCAACTAATTGTTTGGTTGTTATACCGGCTGTTTGCACTTTTATAAAACAATCATTAGAAAAAAGAATAAAAGAGAAAGAGAGATTTATGGGAATAAATTTCTATATGGATATTGTATATATAATTCATTGTTCTCATTGATTTTGTTTCTTTTTTTTGCTTGACCCATATGGATGTAATATCCAGTAAAGATTATTATTATTATTATTATTATTATTATAATTTTATACACAAAATATTGTTAAATCAAAATTTTTCTGTTAATTTCCTGATAATATCAAGGAGCAATACGATGGGTATTTGATGAAGGAAAGCCACTCTCCAGTGACATTGATTTAAAGAAAAAGTTACAAGGGTTTTGGACGACTCCTGATTTATATTGTTCCGTTAAAGTGGACTTTGAATAAATATCGATATATAAAAAAATAAACAAAAAAAAAAGTCCAAATTCAAATTATCCCTTCTGTATGTGTGAACAAGGTCTTACATATAAATAATTATATTCATTAATATGAAAAATGTATGTCATAATGTTTAAATAGCTGCCAGACTTCTATTACATGTATATCATTCAGTTCTCTGAGAGTTGACTGGAAAATGTGACTGATGCATGGTTATCGTGGAGGAATTGCAAACCATGCCCAATGAAAGAGCTATACCATGTGGACTCCCGACCGGGACTTTAGAGGATGATTGTGTACATGTATTTATAAAAACATCTTCAGTATACTTATAAAACATTTTAGATCATAATTGCTCAAGGGTCAGTCACGAGTAACATTTTTCTAGTGAAATGAAAATTCATTATGTTTTCGAAATCTACTTGAATAACATGATCATGTGTTCTGATACAGATTTATCACCTTTATACTTACATGTATATATACATTTATTTTATTTTAAAGTGGTTACAAATACCCGTATTCCATATATCATTATTTAAGGAATAACTGTCTTTTTTTTTTTTTTTTTTTTTATGATGTGATCAATCAGTTTGATCGCGTGATAATTTGCATAAACGCCGAAGGCGTTATGCGTAAAATTATCACGCGAGCAAAATGATTGATCACTAAAAAAAAAAAATACAAATAAACAAACAAACAAAAAAGACAAATTTTCCTTATACATGTATTTACATTTAAACTTAATTCTTGATTCAATAAATTTTTTGTCCAATAATAAGAAATTTAAGCATGCCCTTCAGGTGAATGAGTTACTAAGCAACATACTGGGGGAAAGCGTCCAGTTCTGTCACGTGCTGAGCAAATTGCTTTATGAGGTTATAAAGCCATTATACCGAGTTTGCAATTCTATATCAGACAAAGACATTGGAAATGTAAATATTAAAATGTTTAATACTGTAGGCCAATAAAAAACATTTTGTTTCAAAAGCTTATTAATCCAAATCCACCGTGATGGTATAGATCTTTAATCGACAACAGAATTGTAATCAGTATAGACCAATGCATACTTTTTATTGAATTGTTAAAGATTTGTTCCAAATATTTCAAAAAGAGTATAGAACTAGAAGTCTGAAAAATAAGAGTTCTAGAGATTAGTCCAAAGAAGTGATAAGAACGCCGTTTTCCGTCAAAACAGCTTGGGTATTTTGTGCTCATAAGGGATACAAAAGTACATTTCACCAGTGCCCTATATACTAAGTTAGTACATAGGTCCCTGATTTCACTGGCTGTCAATGTACCATTGCCATGCCACCTATACGCTTTTATGAGGTCTGTTCGTCGATCAACGAACCCAGGAGTTCTTGCCCTG